GGGTGCTGCGCCCCCCAGCGCCGGCGGACCAGGGGCTCCCTAAGACAGGGCACCTGCCCCCCGTGCGTGTCCCCCGCCCCATGGCAGAGCTGGCTGCCGCCTCCTGCCCCCCGGCGGGATCGCTGAGGGGCAGCCCTGCCGCCGCGTCCTGCCGGGTGAGCCACGGGACTTGAGCAGAGCCGCCTCGGGGCCGGGCACGGGGCGCTCTCCCGCAGCCCACATGGCTGCGGCGCAAGCTGCGAGCCACAAATCCGAAGGAGGCAGTGATGCAGGTCCAGTATATACCGGTGTGCGTATACATGTATACACACGTACTTATGTGCCTGCTACAGGGGACGTGAAACAGTTTTCAGAGGAACAGAATCAGCTTGAGACTGAGAGATGGAGGCACAAGCACGACCAAGGCATCCACAGGCAGCCAACTTCTGTGTAATTACCGTCCTCATTACCCTACCACCAATGTCATTAAGCGTCATTAAGTTTAACTTGCTTCCCTAGGACTTTCTGATTAATTGGATTACCCAATTAAGCAGGCCACAATTAAAGGGAAGATATTGTCATAAAAGCCTTAATTGTCTAACTTTTGTTCTGTTGAGCAGCTCTGAGTGTTCAATACACCATTAAGCAACTCATCGCCCAATTTCCTCAACAGTGGGTTTTGCTTTTTTTTCTTTCTTTTTTTTTTTGGTAACATTAACGTCCATTTGCTGTGAGCTTCATTTCAGACAGCTCCAACATCGAGTGGGCATTTTGTTTCACAAAGCCCATGCACAAGTTTACTTTGCAGAGCTATAAACTGCAGTAGGTGGTGTTTAGCAGATGGAGTTTTTCATGGAAGGTGACTGGTAAAGAAAAAACCAACAACCCCTGCACAGTATTTTCTAACTGTATAAAGAAAATCCAGATTCTGCAAATACATGGCCACTTGCTTCACTTTAACTATATAGACAGTGCCACGCTTCATTTTGATTTTTTTTTTTGTATTGGTGATGCTAAAGTGACATCTTGTTTCTCTCCTTCATCCCCACAGTGGTGCTGGCACGAATGTCAATCTGTTCCCCAGCAACCTAGGCAGGGGAAATAAATCCGAAATAAAAATTCCTTGTTGACCCATGTGGGCTATTTGCGGCGCAGAGCTGTTCCTGGTCCACTTTGCTGTGTGGTCGCACCGGCATTGCCCATGCATGAGGGAAGGGACGCAGCAGGGAGAGCAGCCAGTGATGGGGAGCAAAGGCTGCCAGTGCTGGCTCTGAGATACATGAAATGTCATCACCCTCCAGGCTCTCGGCTTTTGGTGAAAAAGCCCTCATGGGACAAGAGACCTTGTGGCACCAGAGCTATTTACACTGCTTTGGCCAACAGTCCGGGCCTGCTGAGGGCACACCCTTTGTTGGATACCTGCAAAAACCAAAGGCCACATTTTCTACTTCATTATTTCACCAAAATTGTAAAGACCTAGGCCAGGAGAGAATCTAACCCTTTTAGGAGGAAAAAAATCTCCTTCAGAAGAAAATGAACACATTTTCCCTCCAACCAAGGGCTAAGGAAAGTGTCGTCAGATCTTTGAACAGTCCTCCACCAGAAAAAATATGAAATGAAAACATGGTGGCTTTTAGTTAGAACATTCAAGATGAACAAATTGGGCCTTCTTTAAAGAGCAAGCCCAACTCTTCTCCTGTATTTATCACATTCCTCCTTAGAAAGATGGATACTACCTATAAACCATGAGTAAAAAAGGAAAAAAAAAAAAAGTTTCAGATGGGCTTAAAAACTGTGGTCTGAACAAGCTGTAGTTATGGGGACTAAAATCATTATTTCTTAAGATTTAAAATAAAATTTTTCTATCCAAAGCTCCAAGTAACAAACATCTGATTAATAGAGTCAGATCACAGCAGTACTGAAGTGGCCCTGTCATAGACTCTCAGCTGGCCAGATACTTCAGAGACAGCTTTTCATAACAAAAAGCAGCCAGCGTCGGCACTGCCGGGCTTTTGGACCTTGCTCAAGGTAAGGTGCAGGGAGACGCAGCACTTGTGTTGCAGAAGGGAGCCTGCACGGCAGCAACAAGCTCTGTGCCTGAAAGAAACACTACAACCTCTGGGCCAGATTCAGCAGTAAAACCAATCCTGAGTTCCTGGCATGGCCTCCTAATACAGCTTTGGTGGCCTGTCACAGTCTTAACAGAAAACTTCAGAGACCAGTACAGCCCTACTTTTCATTCAAAGATCATGTTAGCAGAGCTGAGTGACCTCAGATTGACATTTCCCTTTATTTTCTGGTGGGAATTCCCCTCGATGTGTGCACATGTTGGTTTTTTACAAACCCTCATCTCCTCTGGGTTACAGCCACTTTTAATTTCTGCATGTCTTTCCAGCAGCTCTCCTCAATGCTAAGAAAAAAGGCTGCCGTAACCTCGTTCCCAGTTCGTTAAAGCTCATGCTGGTCCCTCTTTGAAACGCAGTCTCACAAAGGCACAGAAAGATCCCTGTTTTCTAGAGAGAGGCACAAAAAGAGAAGACATTGACCCATTCCCAGAGAGCGGCAGAGTGACGTCACCTGCAGGGCTGCCATCACCAATGCAGCCAGCTTCTCCCTCCAGCTTCTCTACTCTCCCTTCAAACTTCAAGATGGGAACCCATACAAAGACCTGTGTACAGTCCCTAACTCTTTCTCAAAGTCTAGCACATTATAAATTAGGCTACTAATCTCTCCATGCAGGCTGCAGTGCCTGTCCAAGCTAACATCTAAATGCAGAAAGTGAAATTCAGACTTAAAAGAAGGAAGTGGATGGCCTCATCATGACAAAACTCATCACTTATAAAATAAAGCCCACGAAGATTGCATCTCTGATGGGATTAACATGGAGCAGGCTGGCTGTCAGCAACCATCACCTTCCCATAGGCCCTGGGAAGCTGGAGGAGGGAAGAGCGTGCAGAAGCAAGGAGATGACTCAGAGATAGAGCTGGTTACAGGCACAGCACATCCACAGCAAAATCCCTCAGCCACCAGCTTTCCTAGGCACAGGCAACTGCACACAGGTGCTGCTGAGCTCCAGATGTTTTCCATTAGCAATGGTGCAGGTGTGTGAGGTGGTTATAAATGTGCCAGGGCAGGAGAAAGGTTGTCTGTAGGGTATCTGGTAACTGCTTGGGGTGTCCTCTGCTTTTACAGCTGTACATAGTGTGGGTTCTTTTTCTCTGGCTGAGAAATTTAAGGTAGAAGAGAATGAAGGGAGGGCTGGTCTGTGTTGTTCTTCAGTATTTAATTGCTTTCTTTCTATGTGTGATGAAAGTAGTAGATGGGGAAGGTGGGGAAGTTGCCTTGGAGGCTTACTGGGTTACAGATACAGCTTCTGAGTTCTATCTGACTTGCACCAACAAGGTGAAAAGCAGAATCTGTTGTTTTTATGTGAACTGAATGGATTTGTGTTTAATTCTGGGATACTCTTCCTCAACCAATGCCATCAAATGACATCTATGAGTGATTGAGGCTTTTACGTATGTGGGATCAGGGTGGGGTAGTACATGCAGTGATTAGAACTAATGTCTTTGGTAAGGAATGGGATGGCTAATCTACCTGTGTAAATAATGCTATCTTCCTCTCCCTCTGCCCTTCCTCCTCTAACAAAGCAGGTCAGTATCAGCCATACCTCTCTGTTTCATATGGTGAAATGGATGACTGGGACAACAGTGATGAATTCATTCAGCGACTGGATTTTTCCAGTTGTGGTGAAGAGAGTGAAGATAGAAGTGTAAATGAGGAGGATGCCCTAAGCTTGAGCCCCCCCAGGAGCTGTGAGTTCCAGAAGTGGCAAGGGAGCAGTCCTCTGTCAGCAAGCCCACAAAGAAAACTTGGTGAGATCTTTCTGGACAAGACAAAAGCCTGGATGAGTCCTACCCTGCAGTCTTCCCCAGCTGTGAGTAAGAGCTGGGGTAATGTGGAGACACCACTGCACATCACCTGGCAAAAGCTGCAGCTGTGTGACACCCCCCACACTCCGAAGGTAATGGCATGTATCTCCTTTGTGTCTGAGTAGGCAAGGTCTGTGCTGTTGCTGGAACATCACTGAGTGAGTGACAAGGGAATCTGTTGCTAGCCCTGTGGAATGCATTTTTTCAATGTTACTGTTTTTAGCCTTTACTCTTCCCTTAGAAACCTGGACCATGAGCTCCTTTGCTATATGGAAGAATTATTCTGTGGGTGTGAAGAGAAACCTGTGTGTGGGAACAAGAGTCTTGACTCTTTTCAAGCAGCTGTTAAAACCAATTAGTTGGCATTGAATTAGTCTGACTTAAAGAAACCCACCCCAAAACCCAAGCAACCATGTGCCTTGACTGCATATGGGCCCCTCACACCCTGCTCAGGGGGAGTGAGTGGACATCTACAGCATCACTGTAGGAAGCATGCACTGGGCTCCCAGAGGAATAAATGCATCTCTCTTCAAGGAGCTTGTCATTCTAGGCGGAGCTTGGAGACGGGCAGCTGCCCTGACTGCTCTGTTCATCACACTTTTGAATGCAAGAGAGTTTTCTCTTGAAAGAGAAAGTTGGAAATGGCATTGTGGCCAGGGTATGCTTTGTCTGGCAAGTCTGGATTGCCTCCAACCAGACTGTTGTCCAGTGATGCTGATTCTCTTTTTGTGTGAAACTTGATGCTCAGTGAACTTGGGGAAAGCGGGACTTTGTTCTCAGGTTAGCAAATCAATGTGTGCATGTGGAGGAAGATTAGCCTGTCTTCCTCTACATCACTGTCCTAAAATGTAATTTATCTACTGAGCTAGTTTCTTAGGAGAATGATCCCATCCTCTAGTTTCTGTGAAATTTCTTGTATAGAATATAATACAACTGCTTTTTGTGTTTATAACCATAAGTGGAGACTTGGTGCCAGCTTCTCTGTTCCTAGATAACTTCTGTGTGTATATTCTGGCTTCCATCATTCAAGCCTTGCAATGAGATGTTGCTCTTTCAGTCCTCTCTCAATATTCCTACTCCTTTGCTTAAGTGGTACACAGAAGATCAGTCCTTTTAATAATTCTGAGCTAGGATTTGACTTCTGTCCCACTCCAGAAGCCTGATTACATGGAGAGAAAGATGATCCTATGGCCACATATGACCATATTTACTGAGGAATGGCCTGCTCCTCTCTAGGGCAAAGCAGCTCTAAATGGCATCACTCAAAGATTTTCTGGCAATGACCCTTACTAAGAAATGTCCCTGAATCTAATCTGAAAATGGGTGAGATGTCTAGAATCTCTTTCAGAGCAGATGGGCCACTCCTAGTGCAGGGTGCTTTTACCCTGTGATCTTGTGTAGATAACATGTTGGCTGAATGCCTCAAGACATGCTGCCTGTGGCTTGTCACCTTGTAGCCCATGAGCAGCAATTGCACTAAATAAACAATTTATTTTCATTTGCTGTATTAGGCGAGAAAGATCTTGGTTTCCAAGCATGCTGTAAAAGGTGGGCTCTAAAAGGCCTAGATCTGCTTATAAAGAAGTCTGGGAGCATTGATCTTGGAACATTTGAAGGTGAGAGAAAGGCCACATCTAACTGCAGACAGATGAGCACTGGAGCCCCAGCTAGGATGCGCAGCAGAGGAGGCAGATGATTGTATTGTGTAGACTTACCCAATCGTGGAACAGATTGCTAGAGCTAGTTATGGTAGCTGCTGTACACTGTATGGCAGCAGCTATTCTCAGATGATGTTACGGGAGACAAGTCTGCTTGATTATGAAATAGAGCCCTAGTAGAGCAGATGGGAATTGAATGCATACAACAGCAGGCTGCAGTGGTATTTTATATCCCTTTCTTGACTTGTGGCTAGACTAAAACATAGCCACACTTCTACAGAGCTTCTAGGCTGCTGGATAAACTGGGCTTGGACATGTACTGCTTTTAATAGATCCATGTGCAGAATTTTTCCATCCAAGAGCAAGGAGATGTAGACCAGAGCTTGAGAAAATGATCAAAAAAGCACCTTTCAGAATCATAGTAAACTAGTAGCTGAACTTCCAAGTATGGTATAGAAATAAAGGGATGTCCCAGAAGTAGCTATATCCATGAGTGCAGCATCAATTAGGTGGATGCAGGATACATGCAGCTCTAGGGGTTTTTTATCATCAAAAGCTTTCAGTGAAAAAAGGGAGGAACCCTAGATCTGAACCTAGAGCCACATTTCCACTCACAAGAGTGAGATCACTGTTGGATCAAAAAGATATAGAAGTATCTTGATCTTCATGACAGGGACAGTTCTGGGTTCTTGAAAGGCTTTTAACAAGAAGAGATACGTTAAAAACCCTTTTAGACCTTACACCACTTTCTTGAAGCTGAAACAAGTGAAAACCAAACATATTTGAAAAAGCTCATAGTTACTGAAGGGGTCAAATCACAGACAGTAAGTAGATTTTTCTGTCTTCAAGTTGAGACTGGGTGCTCCTCTGAAGTTATGCTTTACTCAGCCCAAGGTTTTGGACTAGCAGGTGAAACCCTGTCTTCTGTAGGAAGCTAAATGACAGAGAATCCAGAGGTTCCTTCCAAACTTAAAATTTCTGAAACTTTTGTTTTTAATTCTTGACAATTGTTTTCTGGTCACTTTGCCAGTAGCCATATAAAGATGTTTCTACCATCTTCCCCTATACTAAAGCTGTTTATTACTGGGGAACCGGAAGGGTCCTTGTGTGATGTTCTATCTTGTCTCCTGACAAACCTGTCCTGACCAAACTGATGCAACACTCCATGCTTCCATGTTAATAGAACATATGATGCAATTTCTGTGTCTCTAATTGGAAAAGATGAGAAGCTGGCTTCTGAGGACTGTGCTTGCCAAAATGGCTCTGCAGGCCTCACCACAGTGAGCAGGGAATAGTTTGAAAGGGCTTAGTGAAGAAGGTAATACTTTGTGGACGGAGGAGAAAACTTAGGACTAAATTAGTGATGATGTGTTTTAATGATTCAGCTATCCTGAGGAAGAGAGTTGAATTTTCCTTGATTTTCAGGAGAGCAGAGATTTTATTCTGACATAGAAGCAACAAAAACATTTTGCTGGCTTATCTGCCACTTTTTTTTTTTTTTTTCCCCTCAATACAGAGCCTGTTATCAAAGACAGCTTTTCCTTCATCTGGGACAAAGGTCCCACCCAAAAGCTTCCGACATCTGAGACTTACTCCTGGTGCTGACTTGGATGACTCTACCCAAGCTTCTCTTGTCAACATTAATCCCTTTACACCAGAGTCTTATCGACAAATGCTCTTTCTTCCTAATGGCAAGCGGAAGACCAGAGACGAGCTGTAAGTGAACTACTCTTAAATAACTGATTGGAAAGAGACTGTTTGAAGGAGATAAGTCAAGGTACTAAATGTCTCCATCATTACTTATTTGTTAATAGTGAATCGTTCACTTTCATAGTATTCATTGGTGCAGAGCAAGTATTAGCAGATGCCTGAAGGTAATAGAAATATAAAAAAATCAATCTTTTCCTTTGTTCAAAAAGGTAAGTGGGGGATCAACACCTAGCATCAATGCTATGGCTGTAGGACAGAATTTGTCTTTCTTTTTCAACCATGGGTAGGGTGGAGCTTGATTCAGTTATGCACATACCCACAAGTCGGAAGAAATGATGTGCATGTTTGAATGTAACACAGCTTAAGATGGGTGCAGGCTACTGCTGACATGTAAAAGTTTCCGATCTGGTGTGGGTTAACCAAGACACAAATTTAGTCATACCTGTACACTACAAGGATGTTCAGCTTCTGTCATAGCCCCAGCTGTAACAGATGCTCAGGTGAGTTATCCTCCTTGATAGCACAGTGGGGTGGTGCTCTCCTTTGCTAGCAGCCTGTTGTGCAAGATCATCTCCCATGTAGCTTCACCAGTCATAAAGTGGGCAGGACAACAATGACCCTGAACTGTGCCACTCTGCCCTGTGGGCAGTACTGAGGTTGGTATGTGGAGGCTTTCTAGATGGAAACAAAGATGTCCTAGCCTGGGACTACAGTCTTTAAGGCCTCAACTAGAAACTCATTGTGTATTAACACTCTACAAAATAAGTCTTTAATTAAACTGAAGCAAGGTTTGGAGATTCTTTTGAAAAATGTTTTCATTTCAAATCTCAGTTGGATTGCTTCTCTGAAATGATACATCCAGACTTTCCTAAACTTCTGTTATAGGAGGAACCCTCCACTGAGAAGCCAGATAAAACAGGAGCTACCTACAAATGTGAGTGTTTGTGTATTTCCCATAGAAAGAGAGTAAGATGCTTGTAAAGATTTGGTGCCTGAAGAAGTTTATTCTGCTATTGGAGTATAAATCATGGTATGATGACAGAGCATGAATACCTATGACAGAGTAGTTCTAAACTGAATGTTTTATGCTAAAATTTGCTTGACAACAAATTCATAAATGATTCCTATCTTTTACTAAAGATCTGAAACTTTGAAAAGTAATCCTAAAACTCATTGACTCTGGTCAGGAGGTCTTTCTAGGAAATATAATTTGGGTTCCTCAGGGAAAACTGTATTACTATATTATTGAGTTAGCATGAGTAGTGACTGAACCTTTGTGGTTTGAAAAAGCAGGTGTATTGCTGTTCCTATGAATCAGTGTACTGAGCATCTTTGGGTATGAATGAAACGTGGCTTCTATATTGCAAATAATATATGGACCTGTGCTGCAAAATCAGACTGAGCTGAACAGCTCTGATGCGGATAAGTACCGAAGGCAGAGTTTCAGTTGCAGTAGTCACAACGGCAACCTTCTGAAGCAAGGTAGCAAATTCTGTACTCTCCTTCAGTAAGAAAATGCCCAGCTGGGGGATGTCTGAGTGCCTTGGGGCCCACGGGAAGGCCCCACCGTAGCTTACATAACTACAGGACAGCAAACACTCTTACAGCCCCAAACCACCTTCTCCTGCTGTTGCTGATGTCTGTGCTTTTTTGCTGGCAAACCTCAGCGGTGGGGTATGTTGGTCTGGTTGCACAGGGCAGGGTGCAAGGTCTCGTGTACCCTCAGCTGTGCTGGCAGAGGTGGGTAGCTGGTGTGGGAACCTGTGTTCCATAGCTGCCTTCTTCCCAGTTTTATCTAGGGGGAAGCTACTCATCCAGCTGCTTTCTGGAAAGTAAGCCAAGCCCAAATTAAATATCTGCGTTCAGATGCGGTAAAAATTGCAATTTTCCTGAGCATCCCCTTGAAGGAATTTTCTTGTCTTGTGCAAGTAGGTAGAATTGTTCATTGTAATGGTGAAATAATTAGGCTTACTGGAAGAATAATAGTACCCTCTAGCCGAGGAGACTGGTATTGCAGAAAAACTCATCTCCATGGAAAACTACAGCTGTAGAATCAATCTGCTACCAGGTAAGATCAGGGGCTACCACAGTTATTCTTTTCCTTAGAAGAAAGCCTCAAATTACTTGTGATTTAACAAAATATTATTGTGCTCAGCTGCTGAATAGATTATGTAATAAAGATGTAAAATTGTGTACTAGGAGGTATCTTTTCCCTGAGCTTTTTAAGATACTGTAAAATACAGCTGCCTTATGAAATAGAAACTGTTGTGAAGGGCTGCTGTTTCATATGGGCCGCATCTTACTGGCAGAGAGGACCATTACCCCCACCCTTGAAGGTCAGATACCATATACTACAGTAATTACAGCAGTGGTTTCTGTAGAAACCACTGTGCAGTATGAGCCACTGTCCCTGTAAGGGATGTAGGGAGGGCAAAGGAAAATCACTTAGTTCACTCTTTTGTTGTTTGCTTTATGCTCTACTGCTTCTTCCTTTATGTATCTTCTCCTGCCAGTAGGCATCACTCTACAAGCAGTACCAGCAGCTCCTCTTTCCCTAGTGACTATTACTGTAGCAATAATTATATTCCAGCTGTTCTGCAGGCTTTCAGCCCTTTGTGGAAAAGTGGCTCCCAGTGAGAAATCGCTGGGAATACAAGCAGATATGCTGAGACCTGCTAATCTGCCATTAGTCAACAGCTGGTGCTTCAAACCTGATGAGAGCCTGAACTGATGCAGAATGCCCTTGCTGCAGGCAACCTTCACTGCCAGAGTAAAGCAGCTCTTATATAGCTGGGGTCACATTAAGCCAAACATCAAGCTTCTCTCCTGAGCTCAAAATAGGTAGTAGTTTTTATTTAAATACAAGTTCAGTGTATGAGTCTAATTCAGAGGTACTGGACTTACACTTAGCAAGGCTTCTAACAGGTCTTTTTGTATCTGCAGTAGCTGGGCAAAAGAGAAGTATTTTGTTGTTTCCTACTGTTCATCCCTGACTCCATCAGCCATGGGTCCAGGAACTGGGCAGAGCTGCCAAGAGATGTGATGGTAGTAACCTAAGGAGGCTTAGGCACATACAGCCAACTAGACTACAATCCTCCTTAGTTACAATTTCTCTCTCTACAGCTAACAAGTCATGACTTAAAAAAACCCAAACAAAACACCAAAAAAACCCAACCAAACCACAAAACACAACAAACAAAATAACCCCTTGGCCAAACCAGACCAAGATGGCCTTTGTTACATTGTCAGAAAAAACACAGCATGCTTAAGTGAGAAATAAGATTTCAAGAAGAACTGGCAGCACCCCTGCGCACATGCCCGGATGAACATCCAGAATGGGAGAGGGAGCAATGTGGGTGCTCTGTGAGAGCAAGTGCTACATGGCTCTAAAAACATGACAGATGTTGTTATCAGAGTCTTTCAACTCATACTTGTCTTTGCTGTTTTTGTGACCTTGTAGAGATATCCTCTGAAAGAGAGCAATATGGTTTCCCGCTACAAGAAGGAGTTCCTGGAACTAGAAGAAATTGGTGTGGGGGAATTTGGCTCTGTCTACAAGTGCATCAAACGCCTTGATGGATGTGTTTATGCCATCAAACGCTCCAAAAGGCCTCTGGCAGGATCCTCGGATGAGTGAGTGTGCTAGCTAGAAACTGCCAATTGAAATGATGGGCATGTTCTTAAGAGGTGTGATGGGGAAGGAGGAAGTGTGGATCTAAAGGTATCTGAGGGGTGGCATGAGCAAAAACTGGCTGCTGTTGCACTCCCAAATAACAGTTGGGAGAGTGGGGGAAGTTGCCACTTTAGGCCTATTGAATATAAATGTCTGAGAAAGGGAAGAAGCCACATGTATTGCAAAGTGAGATGACAGCTTACCTGAACTCCTTGGGTCCATGCATCCAGTCTCTTTAACAGCTGTCATAGTTAATTTGTGGTATGTTCCTGCCCTGCTGTATGGCCAGTGCTGTTGACATCTGTATTGACCAGCTAGTGTTGTCCCACATACTAAAGCAAAGTCTTTGAAGCTGCCTTTGCCTCTTTAACAAAAGACTTGCTCAGTGATTATTTTTTGACAGCTGCTCAGCTGTTACATTTGAGTAAGGGCAAGTTTTGCTTTAGCAGCTGTGAGAACCAGTCTGTCTTGCCAAAACCCAAGAGAAAGTCCTAAACACTTCTGCTTCCCTGTTCTCAAGCCAGGCTGCACACCAGGGCTCCTCTCATGGTCCCAGGCAGGACCCTGGCACTCTGTCACCACTGCTTTTTCTGTGCATGCTTCTCTAGGCAGCTGGCACTGCGTGAGGTTTATGCTCATGCTGTCCTTGGACATCACCCCCATGTTGTGCGCTACTACTCGGCGTGGGCAGAGGACGATCACATGATTATCCAAAATGAACACTGCAATGGTAAGAGCTGTGATGTTGTTGAAGGCTGAGATTTTAGGATGGGTGCAGTTACCTTCTTTTGTACTAAGATGTGGGATGTTTTGTCTTACAACTGAGCAAACTGCACTGGGGCTGCAGTTCCATGGAGAATCCGTTAAGGGCTTATAATATTTAGACAAAGCTCTGAACAGTGCCAGTGTCTTAAGTAGTGAATATCCTCTAATTTGTGGGATTTTATAACTATTCCTCTATGTTTGCTGGCCTGGAAAAGTATTCCCCATGCTGATACTTAAAGCTGCATTTGGTACTGCGCAGATAAAACCTGATGAGTGACTTGAGAGCAGTTAAGTGCCATGTCATTCTTAATGAAGGGGAACAATGATTTGAAGAGTGGCTACCTCTGGTTGAGATGAGGGCATCTTTCATCTTGGCTAGAAGGAAGGGCTCAACAGCTGCAGAGACTAAATAATGAGGTAAACTGTAAATGGGGTGCTGCAGGCAGGGTGGTACACTCTTACTGAAGTTTGCCCTTGGCCATAACACTGTTTGGGAGACATTGGAAAAGATACCTCTGGCTCTCAGAGGAGCTGAAGGTAAATATGTAGCTCTCCTCTTTGAACTGCTCCTCCAGTCTCAATGATGAGTGGTGATAGCTGTTTGGGGTAATGACTTGAAATCTGGTGGAGGTAACCATGAAATATAGTGATCATTGCTGCAGCATTGATGCATTTATTGTGTTCTAGTGGATTAACATCTGCAACTAAAGAAGTGGTAAAAAGCGGTCTGATGGGGAGAGAGGCCATGGTATTTGCTAGTCCCAAAATAGCTAGAGTGCCTTAATGGAGACCCACAAGACTTTGTTTCTGTGTCAAATGTTACATTCTTCAACCAAAAATCTGCTAGTGGGAGCTTAATTTCCTTGTTCCACCATTCATATACCTGCTTTCTGCCTGTACGCATGGCAAAAAGCAATTAATTTTTCCACTGTTCACTTGTGGTAGCAGCAGCATCACTACTAGGTCAGGCTTTCTGGTGCTGTAGGTAGAACTACAGTTGCTTGGTCCTTGGCAAGAAAGGCAGAGTGCTCCAAGGCAATGGAAAGGCTGAAGCCAAATGATGATGTCCAGGTTTAATTGCTAAAGTATATATAGCTGGTCCAGACAGGGTTTGTCACTAGCAAGCCTGCAAATGATCTGGGCAATAGTTTCTATTAAGCTATTTTGAACATGCTGCTCCATAAAATCTGTCAGGTCTCAGACTGACTGTTTTCACCTAGGTGGGAGTCTCCAGGATGCGCTGATGGAAAATGCAAAGCTTGGCCAGTATTTCTCAGAAGCAGAGCTGAAAGAAATACTGTTACAAGTCTCCATGGGGCTAAAATACATCCACAACTCTGGCCTTGTGCATCTGGATATCAAACCTAGTAAGTATAGCTCTCCCCTCCTTTGTTGTCCACAGGTAGGACCTGTATGTAATAGGTTCTTCTGACTAGACCTATTGCAGTGCTTCAAAGGAAAGAGGATCTTGCCCTAAAAGGTGAATATCTTCTGAGTGTTGGGGTTTTTTTTTAATCTCGCTACTCCTGCTGCTCTAAAACTGAGCCTTCCCAGATAGCTGTCAGCATTTTACTTCTGTCTTGTGCTCATCATAATCCTGTCTCATGGGAATCACTTCCATACTGGGCGAACAAGTAGGGCGGCTAATGAAGACAGAGACTTCCTTATTTGTCTTGTTGCACAACACTTGATCTTTGTATGCGAGAGCTGGAGTGAGAAGTATTTATTGTACCTACCCTAAGGGATTAAGTTCCTGCAAAAAATAGTAACAAGCTTTCCTCTCTGCAGCTGAGGATGGGCACCCCCAGGGCCCCCCCCCCCCAGTCACATAGTTATGCTCTTAATAGCAGAGCTCCTCTTTCTTACTGAAATCATAATTGTAGCTTGGGGGCAGAGGGAGGGGCAGAAAAGTTGATTACACTGGGATATTATATGCACAAGATGCAACTGTCTTCTGTCAGCTCTACTGCTGAATATGTAAGCTGGGCAGAAAGCAGACATTAATAGGTGGGGAGCATGTGCAGAATTTCTCTGACTGCAAAGCTTAGCCAGGTTGACAGGTGGGATTTCCACAAAGTTGTCAGGCTGCTGCAGTCTGGCTACTGACACCACACTATTGCTAAACCTCACTATCTTGCAGGTAATATCTTCATCTGTCACAAGCTGGCAGTTGCAAGCCCTGCTGAACAGGAAGAGAGTGACAGTGAAGATGAAACCTCTTCTGGTGTGGTGTATAAGATTGGTAAGTTTTAGCCCACTTTACAACTAGTGTAACATTAGGGCTGCTCATTACTGCTTGATATTGCTCTGTCCTGCTGGCTGAAAAGACATGCATACAAAACTGATGGCATAGTACTGAAGTAATTCCTCTAAGATGACAAGTCCTAGAAAACTCAAATGCTTGTATCCAAGCCCAGATTCCTGAGTAGGAGCAAACTTGCTCTCTTACTGGTATTTCCTGATTGCTGTTGGTGCCTATAAAATGCAGGCTTTTATTGATGGAGGAGGTCTGTAGCAATTTGCTCCATTAGTTGCTTGTTCTTTGTCTCAGGTGACCTTGGCCATGTGACATCAATAACAAACCCCCAGGTGGAGGAAGGAGACAGGAGGTTTTTGGCCAATGAGATTTTGCAAGAGGTACAGCTGCTGGTGGGGTGGTGGGGAGAACAGGGTGGTGAGCAAGTGGAGAGAGATCAAATGTATTGACATTGTTAGTCTGGGATATTCCTTATCTCCTCTTCGTGTCTGGTGCAGCTGTGAAATTAGCAGAATTAACACTTTATTAAGAACAGTGTAGGCATGGGTTTTGTCATGTAAGTATTGAACATACTTTGTAAGTAGCTTTATCATTAGATTATTTCAACTATTCTACCTGCAAGGAATGAATAGGACAAAACCTTTATCAGTCTGGAGACATTTCATTTACCAGCCCAGCTGAGGTTAAACTGCTGGATGTGATTACCAAGGAACATATGCACCCGGAGAAATGCCTTATACAACAAGCACTGATCAGGTAGTGTGTCAAGGTGAGAGGCACAACACACTTAAGCTGACTGCCGATTTGCCACTCTAGGCAGTGAACAGAAAGGGAGTAAAGTACGTAACAACCATCTTGGATGTGTTTATCAACTTGGCTATTTAAGTGACAGTGCCTTTTTGTGCTGCAAGTGGATTCAGGAACTGTTAGGTCAGTATATCACATGCAGTCTTTAGTTTGAGTTGGGCATGGCTAGTTTACTGCCTTGTGATGGAGGCTGAAGGCACATATTTGTTAGGCCATTCTCTGGATTTGCTGCAGTGATCCTAATGTGGCTGCAAGCTCCTTATGACTGGGTGAAAGCCTATGTGCTTTTAGTTACCAATACTACCTGCTATTAATGTTTTTATCCTAAAGAGGAGAAAAGAGCTAACTGGGATGGTGAAGACAGTGTCATACATAGACTTGTTTGCTTGTTTTTGAGCTGGTATCCCAGTCCACGTTTGCTAGTATAGCAAGACATTCCCTTTCTATAACTGTTTATCTTCTCTCTGCAGCAATACTGCTATTTGCCAAAGGCAGACATCTTTGCCCTCGCACTCACAGTAGCTTTAGCAGCTGGCACAGCACCACTGCCTCACAATGGGGCCATGTGGCACCACATCCGCAAAGGCAATATCCCACCGATCCCCCAGAAGCTTCCTCATTGCTTTCTTGAACTCCTCAAGGTGAGGAAGTATTCTTGACAGGATGGAGGAGGTTTTTCCAGTTGGCACGTGACAGTGTTAAATTCTGAACTCCTTTGACTTCTAGCTCATGATTCATCCTGACCCAGTGGAAAGACCTTCTGCCACAGCTCTTACTAAACATCCAGTCCTCTGTCCTTCACGTGGAAAAGCTGTGCAGCTTCAGAAGCAGCTAAATGTGGAGAAGTGCAAGACTGCCATGCTGGAAAGGTAGGGCTGGCTAGGGCATGAAGGGGAGAAGACATGGGTGCAGCAAGTGCTGGTCACCAGGCTTGAATGTAGGGTGGTAGTGTTGGGAGACCTAACATGCAGAAATACCCAGTTCGCTCCTGCTCCTGGAGCTGGAAACATGGTGGGGCTGCAGCTGTGGTTCACTTCCGAATTTGAGGTGGCTAAATTATAGCAGTGAACTTGCATGCTTACTATTACCACTGGTGATGGAAAATACTGATACAATATGCAGCCAGTGGGCAGATGAGGAATTGTTACTGCACTGAGATAGTGGTCTAGCACTTGAAAGAAGAGAAATAGCAGGTGGTGGCCTACATCCTCTTTTCCCTTGCCTCCCTCTCACTGCTGTGAGCAGTAACATTTTGAGGTGCTGCAATCTAGGAACTGCCCCACCAGCCCTCTTAGTGCAATAGTCAGCTGGGGAATAAGTTTTCCATGTAGACAGGAGAGCATATATGCTCTTGGGAGTGCAGCAAGCATCAAGGAAAAAAGGCAATGGCAAAGAAACATTTGCCTTTGTGTGCTACAATGCATGGCACTGATCTAAGTTCTACCAACACAAATATCTGAAACAATCGGGGAAAAACTGAGCTAGGGATGCCTCATACTGTACTGGTGCCAGTCTAGGTGTTTATGGCTGACCTGATGTAGTTTTCTTTGGTAAACCATTGAAGCTGATCTGTTCTGAAGTAGAAACTCTAAAGAAACCTACAGTAATCTTCATGTCACTCTCTAGGGTCAGAAGTCACCACTCAGCAGCAATGCTGGAGTATGCAGTAACCCTCTTGTGCAAGACTGTTCATAGTTTTCTTCTGTAAATGATGGGGATTCATGCATGATGTGGTTTTCTTCCTCTCCTCTCCTCTTCCTTCCATCTCCCCCCTGCAGGGAACTTAAAGCAGCCCGCCTTGCCCAGACCCTCATGAAGGACCAGCTCTTAGGAAGTGCCAAGTTGCAAGAGTCTGAAACCTCTTCTAAGCAGAGAAACAAGCACCTGGTGGGAGGGAAGAGCTGTCGCTCATTTAGCTTTACTTTGGGTTACTGAACTTCTGTGTTGTCTAAAATGCTCCAGTGGCTGAATGGCCCTGTGAAAGCAGGGGGTCTGCACAGACCAATGCCCCATATTAGCTCTCCCTGTCATGGTTTTTGGTTCTTTTATCAGTTATGATGATATGTTGGCTGAGGGAATAATGACTAGCATACAAGTGTGAGATCATGGGATTTAAGACGATTGTCCTAGTCTTTTACCTGCTTTATTTGTGTAACTGGTCTCATTCTAGACTTAGACTAGCTTTGCCATGCAAGGGAAAGGATGGCATTTTTTCTACTCACTTCCCTCATTGTTTAGTTGAGCCCTATGACTGATGATGTTTTTGTGGTCATAACACTAGCCACCTGTGTATCTTCAGATCAGAGATTGTGGCTGTACATGGAGACAGCACCTACAGCTGGGTCTTCCTGAAGTGGGGAAATAGATTATGATAGACAGATCTTATCTACACATCAGGAGACAAACTAGTTATGTAGGAGTCTTGGTGGACGTGGGCTGCAGCTGAAGCAGCATGTCACTGAGGGAGACAAAGAGTAAAAGGGAACACCTTGAGTTAAGGGTCCTTACTTGTGGAAGTTGAAGGAAAGCTTTCCTTCCCTTAACTTTCAGCAGCAGGCACAATATCATGTAACTGATGTGGTTAAGCTTTTGCATACTAGTTCCTGATACCTGACTTGTTTTGTGTTGATCGGCAAGGACTCTTTGCTTGAAGTGGGGGGAAATGACTGTTGTGTGCTGGCAGGTGGGTCTGTGTACCCATTTCCCTGCCACTATCTTACACATGGTGCAAGGCCTGCCTGCAAACTGCAGCCTTTCAGCAAAGATGAGAGAAATCATACCAGGTGTTTTAGGCCTTGTCATTTTTTTTTTGGAGTCGCCTATGTAGAGTGTTATTAAATCTCAGCCCCCTGCTTACTCTTAAGTTTCTGGGTCCTTGCTGGCTGCATATCTAGCTGTGGTAGTTGGACACGAACGTTGACACTGTTATGAGGGAGAGTGTGAAGGTGGTAACTCGGTTATTTTCAGGTTTTACTGAAGTTTGTTTTCAAGTGTGGGACAGTGCTGGCTTTTAAACTGTTAGAAGCGAAACGTGCAAATAAAGATTTTAATCCTTTTACCTACGACGAAGTGACTTTTTCTTTTCCCTTCGGGCCTCCCTCCCCTTCGAGCTCTCCATGGCCCGCGGGGGGCCCGGGCCGTCGCTGCCCGCTGCCG